CAGAATGCAAAATCTACCATTTATTCGTACATTGAATATTGCTATCATATCTGATCTAGGTATTTGCTATATATACAGAGATTCTCGACAAAATCCAAAGGGTCTGTAATTTCATAGGTGCTGACCTGGCATCTCGGCTTCAGTTGCTCTCCCACTGCTTTAACAGGGCTTCCCTCTGTCTTTTCTATATATATTTTCATGGTAATTGTTCTAATGAGTTCTACTCCTTGGTACGCTGACCGCATGAATTTAAGCGGACTACTAGATTGGCAAATAGGGTTCATTGTTCTACCGTTGAATTAGCTGGATGTAACACTAAGTTCTATTCTAGTAGTTTTTTTCGCACTTCTCACCTGTGGAAATCTCTTCTGACTGCCACTTACGATCATCAAAAATTTAAATGCAACGTCAGTCGTCATCTTTTCTCTTCCTGGAACCTGTTCTTTTATTGTCCTTTCTCTTGACTAAAGTTTTATCATTCCCTTTCACTCTCAGTAACCCATTACGCGTGCGAATAACAAATACGAAACAAGACAGAAACAACAATGCATAAACAACTTCTACACACCATTTTCTAATATTTCATCGTTATTATAATACGAAGCATGATCACTTAATGCCGCAAGGTTCCCTGATAATATAACAGCAGAATATTTCATTAGAGATTAAGATGGATGACTGTTAGATATATATATGGCGACATTGTGATTTATATTATAGAAAAGGTTTGTTATAAAATAACCGAGAGTTCGTTAAACTTGAAAGAGTAACATATTTGACCTACTTACAGAGATAATGTCAGAGAAAATATGATCTTTGTTCTATAACAAGAACCCCAGGTATTTGGGAACACATTATAATATAAAAGAAGGATATTAAATAAACACTCAAGTTAGGAAAAGAGAAAAATCTTCTCAGCCTTGAGAACGACCTCGATGCGATCTTGGAAGCGACTGAATGCCCGAATTATATTAGGTTCTCCTTATTGTTGGTCATCGTATCCACTATGGTGGCCTTCAACGAGTCATTGAAATTGTAGAGCCTCTGCCTAGTTTTCCCCTCAATGACGCCTCAGATGTTGTAACCGGAAAAAGATTTAAATCAGGACAGTAAGAAAGCCACATGTTGGATAAGGGGTGACATGATTATGAAAATTCCTAACCAGCCGATCGTAGGCCATGTTGGTTATGCGGAAGGAAGCAGAGTTTCGCTGGATCGCGTACAGCCATCAATCAAGAACTGAAATTTAGGCGGTGGCATTGACACTGAGGACCTGTGGGAAAATGTGAAATTGCATAATATGAACCTCGTTGATTATGACCTCCAGTTTCATAATATGAACTTGGTGTGCATCTCCGCGGATATAACCTTGGCTATCTGCGCAGAGATACATTTCATTTCTCCTGTTCACATGACCACTTTCAAAAAGCTGGTTAATGCCATATTGACATAGATGGCGGCTTTTATCACAAGTACGGCGTGCCTTTTTCAATTCATTGGCCAGTGGAAACTGCTATGTTAATGCTCTTGATTCATCTGAAAAAGAAATGAGAATATTAAATGTGGAGCATAGTGCGTAATATTCCGTTATATGTGCTTTCATTTTGGGGCTGCTAAAAATGTGTTTTCAAATACCCGACAGCGCCATGTGTGAATGTCGTGGGAAAGGGCTATGCCTTAATATTAGTCTTAAGTTATAATCCTTCTCACCTGAGGGAAAAAGCCATTGTTTTGAATATCGATTTTATAAGAACATACAATAAAGAAAAGAGAAGAATATTGCATAATTGGAGTTGAATCTTTTGATAACGAAGCTAATTAAATACAATTATATCACCAGGTTCGTTTATCATTTAGCAAGTTCACTTGCACGTCCTAAAATAAGATTTTTGTTATATGTCTCAAATATTACACAGCTTTTTCCAATTTTTTTTTCAGAGTTTAATATTCGAAGCGCAATGGCATCAATTCCAGTTTAAAATCGCTAATTTTATATTGTAATCATCCATTTAAAACGTTCTGAACATGAAAAATCTCAACTATAAAAATCCATCCACACATAAACTGAGCCCGACTCAAATAGAGCAAAAAAATAAATGATTTGTATGAATCTTTGCAAACAAAAAAAAGTTAGATAGTTTCTGATTAGCAATCGACTGGAACAAGTGTATCCACTTCACTGATTGGTCCACGAATGGTTATCAGTGTTGCATGCAGAGACGAAGAGGCAAGTAAACGGTTTTTGCATCGAACTATAGTGATGTGCCTAAAAACCATAAAGATATGGGGAATTGAGAAATTTATACCTGAGTACATGCGTTTTTGTTGTTTCTATATAGCTTTACACACACACATTATATATATTAGTAACTACTTTCAACACCACTCTTCCTCCACTATCTCAGATAATCAAAAGTCGCTGGGAAGTAATACATCTCAAACCAGACCTAAAAATTTTATTTGAGGAACCCTGCCTTCTAGCATATCGTAGACCGAAGGACCTTAACGAAATTATAGGTAATAACTAAATTTCAGATGATAAGGCAATCCGTAATATACCAAAAATAAAAACAACAGGATTTTCCCAACCATGTAACAACAAAAGGAGCTTATGTTGTAACAACATTAGACACAACAATTCTGTCACTAGTTCAATAAATAAATCTACTTTCAAAACCTATCACAACTCAAACTACAGAAGTCATAACATAATTTACCTCCTAGAATGCACACTATGCCAGGAACAATATGTGGAAAAATCTGAATGGCCCTTTCACTACAGAATTAATAATTATCGTAATCGGATTAAGTCGGCTCCCCACAAAAGATTATTACCTGTAGAACAACATTTCCGCCGAGAAAAACATGATTTTAAAAGCCATAGTAAATTCACTATAATTGAAAAAATAAAAATAAACAGAAAAGATAACATTAGACAAATTCTAGAGTAACATGAATACAAATGGATTTTGCGCCTCAAAACACTTCGTCCAGACGGACTTATCCACAAATTTAACAACATAGAATTAACATATAACACCATAAATCAAGCCCTACCCACATTCCTCACTCGCGGAGGTGTTGATGTCTCATACTTATACACACACCCATACTAATATATACTTTTACACACAACATACACACTCCCAAAGAACTAAAATATATCATACATTTAACACACATACATCTCCTTCCCAGCCACCAATAAAACTGTCAAAATGACAAAGAAAGAAATTCTGAATTTCCCCAGCATCTGTCTTAAAAACAACTTAAAAGAGGCCTTTGGACAACACAAGGACTAAGCAAAATTAACGATAAGAAACAAATGAAAACTACAGATAAAGTTCATTTTCTTCAGAAAGTCATGTAGGCTTTATCGTGATTAATCAATCGTTGCTTCTTATCAACTACAAAATTTTATGTAGGAAGCCGATCGAGCATATAACTAGTTAGCATTATATTAAATTACATTCCTAGCTCTTTCCCTTTTACTTCATAGTAAAGTTGAACGACAGACTTCTATAAATCTTACGAAATAATGTAACCGTTTGTATCTGTCCATAATGAAATTGTCTAGGATTTATATGCAGACAACTTTGTGTCATGACCTATAAAAAAAAAAATTTCGGTGTGTTTGAATTTAGCGTAGGTCACATTCGATTATAATTTTTTAATTTTCTTTTTACATACTTATATAAGTCCAGCATATTTTAATTACCAAATATAATTTTTAAATTAAAAACCTGTAAGTCCAGCATAATATATAACTACGCCAACATTATAATAACCAGATACATTATAATTCAAAATTGTGTAACGGTCAGTTCATACTCAGCACCTGAAGATTGCGTCGTGCATGAAACTCAGAGTCGTTCTAGCGGTGACGGATAACGTGTATATTTATTCATATATACTTAATAGCTCTGTTATATTACATAGAGCCCTGTTTTATTAATATGTTATAATATATCACACTATATATATATATATATATATATATATATATATCAGATCAAAGACCAACAAAATCATGATTCAAGACTGAAAGACTTCAACGATGTTACTCGATAAAGACAAAAAATATTATGAGTAAAATCGATCAAGTTATGAAGCCAAAAACAAAAGAATGCGGATGAAACGTTTCCATTTTGGATTATTCATGAGGTTCGTAAGAGTTACGCCCCTTTCACAAAAAATCTTTTAAAAGTTGATCCTACTGAACTTCTGTTTGTTAGACTAGAAGAGAAGATTTATGAAATCTTCAATTAATGTATCACAATTACCTGCTCCTGCCACATTTCATTAATTCAACAATTTCCTTGTGTCATATTTGTTCTGAGCTCAGCGAATTATCTTTTCGTAATTGGAAGAATCAAAACAAACTTTTTAAATTTCTTTTGTTTTGATTCTCTGTAATAAAAAAAAGATTTTGCTTTTTGGAGATAATGATAATCGTTCCGAAATGTTAGAATTGGATTTCGAATAGAAGAAGAAAATCCTCATTAACATACACTCAGGCTACATAGCTCAGTGGGAAGAAACAGCAAGTTGAGGTTTTTACAATAAAGAGTGAGAGAAGAACAAATCGAATCATTTTCAATTGAAACATTTTTTTTTAGATATTTTTGTTTCCGAAATCAGGAATAAGAAAAAGGCAGCGGAAATTTTCTTCATATGTAATCTTATTAATTTTAAAGTTATTTGCGTTACGTACTTCTGATATAAAAATGATAAAATTTAAGAGTGATAAGTCAATGAACCAAACCACCAGGTCTCTTATTTAAGAGAAGAGGATTGTTCGTTGCAGATTTCATAGCAAGACGATCATTACATGCAAGACTGTTAACAGGCTCAGTTTCATTATAATCTTTTTTCGCTGAAGAAAATTTCAGAAAACATTACTTTAGCTTAGTCTGATAAAAGCTACAATTGTATATTATCCAGAGTAAAAAAAAATAAAACAATTTTCCGAATAATCGGTTTATGGTTGGCGCTCATACACTAGGGTTTAGTATAAGAAAAAAAGAAAGAAAGAAAGAAAGAAAGAAAGAAAGAACTCGATGATAGAAAATCAGGATGGAATTGTAGTCGTCAAAATAGCAGCTGATGGTTAGCGAAAGAAGCCGGCATAGGCACTCAGATGAAACTATCCATCCTACCAACCGTTCATGTTGGCTGAGGTTGAAGCCAAACATGCACAGATGTCAAGAATGATGGGTTGCTGAGAAAACAGGGTGTGTGTGCGTGTAAGAGAGGGACCCAATTCGGGTAGGTTAACTTGAGGAAGCGATCTTCCCAGCGACTGGCCTGGAACGAAAACATCACTATGTGGAACAAGATAAGATCGAAATAAGAAAGGCCGGAACAACAATGTTCTTTGAAACATAGAATGCAAAAATCTCAATGTAAACAGGTGATGTTGTTTGTTGATGAAGTTTTACAAAATCCATTTACAATGCCTGGATTTCTTTCCCCTACGAAAGAAACTTCGTTAAGCAAATTTATGGAAATGTCCTTCTTCTGTCTTCGCACAAAATCATTATTGTCTTCAATTTGAAAGTTGTTCATAAACCAAAATTATGTTAATTTAAACTTCTGCTGATATCAACCTCTAACCTTTTCAATATAAATTTGATCCGAAATCATAGACTAATATACGAGTATATTCGGCATTTCATGTTGGAGTCTAATACAGAAGAGCTAACAAGATTTTTGATATCTTCCAAGTGAGAAGGCTCTACTTGTTTTCAAAATTGAAATTCAAAATCTTATTTTTACCTAGGCTTCATCATCATCATCATCCTTCGACCTCCCTATGATTGGTAGGAACTCCATTGACAATCCCTCTCCATACTGTTTGGTCCTGCATTGCTGTCCCCAGATCCCCAGTATCCAAACCTGAATCCTGAGCTATGGTGTCTGGGAAAGTCAATTTTCGTGAGAAGAAACTTCCAGATGGATGCCATAAAAGTAAGGATGGGACGATTTCCTAGTCAGCTCGGTGGCAATGGCTGGCAAACTGTAATCGTTTTTGTTTGAGCTTAAGAGAGATTGATCTCAGTTCTCTGTAAATTGTGTTAAGCGTTACATGAGATCTCCAACAGATGTTCTGGGTTTTTCGAAGTAGATTTTCCATTCAATCCTCTTTCAAGACGAGCAAATAATGTCCAAGTTTCTGATCCATACAGTAGGACTGGTTCAATCAATGTTCGAAAAGTCTGAACCTTTAAGGAGGATGGAAAGCTCGAACGCCAAATCTTGTGAAGAATCCCACGCAAGATTTTTGCGGATGTTGAGGTCTTTTGGGGAATCTATTATGTGAGATCCAACAAGATATTCGAAGTCCTCAACTTTTTTGATGAATGTATTATTGAGTGTAGGGTAGTTCAAGGGAGGTTGTCATATATTCTAACTCACGTTTCAATAGAGACCTATCTGGTTCGCTGTTTGCTCAAGTGATTGCAGCAAAGATTCTGCATCCTTAATACATCGAGAAATTAATGCAAGATCACCGACAAAGTCAAGGTCAGTCAGGTATTGTGGAGGGTACCGACTACTCTGGCAAGGTTTCAAAAGGAGTTTTTTTTCCTCCATGTTGCCGAGAGAAATACACAGAACGTAGTCCAGAACAACTATAAACAGAAAAGGAACAAGTGTATCACTTTCTAGAACTCCTGCTTTAACTTTAAAGGAATCAGTCTCGTCATCAGGCAATACAATGGCGGCAATGTTTCTGTACAGAGCTCTAATTGCCTTAACAATTCTGGAGGATATATCATATAGTTGCAGGATTTTAAACATGAGATCTCTGCTGATGGAATCGAACGCCTTGCGAAAGTCAACACAAAGAGGTTTTGACATTTTTGTTGAATTTTTTCATCTCTTCTAGAATGCGACGAACAGAGAGGATTTGAGTAGTTGCTGACCTGCTTCTTCTAAATCTATTTTGATTCTTGCGGAAGACTAAATCGATGGTAGGAAAATCCTATTTAACAGAAGCTTATTGTAAACTTTTGCTGCAATTGGCATGAGAGATATACCACACTTGTTAGATCGCCCCTTTTTTGGAACAGGGACTATTCTACCCTTCAGCCAAGCTGGAGGCAGCGAATGGTGTATGAAAGTGTGATTGCAAAACTGTAGGAGGAGGTCATGAAATATTGGATCTTTCCACAATAATGTTCGTATGTTGTCAAGACCTGGAGATTTGTTTTTGGTAAATTCTTTGAATACTGTTTTGAGTTCATCGAGCGTGAATGGGTTGGTGTTGATATCCAGTATATTGGATATTTGATGTATTAAAAGTGGAAGACCACTGACTTCCGGTGGTTCTCCCAGAAGTTTTACGCTTTTCGGAGAAACTGCCTTTGTGCCGAACGGAAGGCATTGGTTTTCTTCCTTAGTAGATGTTTATTGTTTTCCAGGCTGCAGCATCTTGTTTCTCCGTATGCAGTCTTACAATCTTGTCGATCTCCCCTTGGATGTACTCTACGTCTACACTGGAATGGGCCTCGTCTAGTATCTTTCAAAATACTTCTAATTAGCTTTTGTTCATAACTCGGTTTTACTCTTTACAGATCTTTTCTTGCCTTTCTCACACAGACATCTGATGTGAGAGTGCTGTAACTTTTCCTTCTTTGGTAGTTTTAAGAGTGCGATTTCTTCTGTAGATGATATAAGGTTGTTGTATCGTGTTTCAATGTCATCAGATTAATCATAGAGTATTTCATAACGATTCTTAGCATCTACAGCTAAAGGAGTGTCCCAAAGATCTGTCTGATGATACCTTGGCCCAATCGAATTCTTTCATAGGGGGTCTGGTACTGGCGGTTTGGACAAACTTAGGCCATCTATGGAAACAACTCTATGATCAGAACTAACAGAAGAGAAGGACGAGTATGCCTGGGCATTACGAACACTGTTCTTCCACTTAAACGCCTTCTACGAGCGCCAATCGGAAATATGCAAATATTCCAATCACCAAACTCGACATGTACTGTTCTTGATTTTCTTTTTTTCAGGATTTATTCTTAGTGAAATACATTTGGATTGAACATAAAAATTGCACTTATGAAGCAAGTTGATATTTTGAATATTTTCTGTAGGTGGTAGGAAATTCCGAATTTCTCGAAGAATACCTTTTCTATTTTATGACTGAAAATTTCAACATATTTGCGACCCATAAAACAGGTCAGCTCCGTGGGTTTTGAAGAAACACAAATCAACCAAAGTAGAAAGACTTACCTTGAAAAGGAGCAGCCATGCATAATATTAGAAATCTCACTAATCTGCAATGTACCTTCAAGACAAAACAGCTCAGATGATGAAATGAAAATTTCAGAACGTTTTTGTGCACAAACTTAAAGCCTTAATTTCTTATTAATTACTATTTTTACCGCTTATAAGTAACATGTTTTATAACAGTGTGTGTGTGTGTGTGTGTTTTTTTTCTTTCTTTTTTTTGTCCTTTTTTATTTATTTATTCGGTCGTTATCACGGACGAGTATTCACTGCAATTTATCGCTCACTAGATTTGTAGACTTCATGTTGTTGGTGTCAATCTCTGACCCATAATACCATTACATCGAGGACTTTAATATCTTAATATTTTATGATTGTTAGAAAAAGTGCGTCAGTACCTAGATGGGTGACCGCTGTTGCTTGGATGTGCGGCTGGTGTAATGGATACAGGTTCCGAATTGTTAACTGGAGAACAGTTCCAATTCCATTTGGGATCGTTATATTCACTTACGCGAAAATACCTTATGACTCCACTCCCCCTAGCTATGGGCTAATTAGTTAGACTTGTATCACTAAAACCATTGTTCTCTTTCTCTCTCTCTTATATATATATATATATATATATATATATCTTTGCAATCTAGCCAAATTCAACTATATTCTTTTTCTTTCCATCATCTTTGTTTTTAATTATCCTACATTGTGATAACGGAATGGTTATATGTTGCAAGAAGCTGGACGTAAAAATACTGTGGCTGAATTAGCGATTAAAGCACTTTCTAGACATTTTCGTCTTAGTGCATTATTTTCTTTTTTAATTAGAATAGCGCGTTTTATGTCAAAATTGTGATATGTTTTGTTTAAGGTGAACAACCAATGCGTTTTGTGTGTTGTTTTTTTTATGCCTTTTGTGTTCATATAGTCTTTTGTTTAAACTTCTTGAGGTTTCTACAATATATTCTTTCTTGCAGTTGATAAAGGAAATTCTTTCAAGTTTTGGCTTGTTGATTTCTTTTCTATTAAGTGCTTCGTCAGATTATCTGTTATCATGTGGGATACTTAAAAGCAAAGATGAAGAAAACAAAAAGAATATAGATGAATTTGGCCAGATTGCAATATATATATATATATATATTAAAAATCTTTCAAAATTTTAAAACTACCAGCGTCTCTCGTTCATGCGCTTGTATCATAACGTCGTCAAACCCAGTTCGATGAAGTCCTAAAAGATGTAACAAGTAAACTTTTGTTTTACAATTTCTTCTCTCTCCCTCATATATATGTGTGTGTGTGTGTGTGCGTGTGTGAATTGCGTACAAAATATTTAGATTTCAGTATTAAATAATCCATAGAGGTTGATAAGCCGCATTCAGAACGTACCAAGAGTTTTTGTTTTTTTTTTTGACTGATGTTAATTCACAAAATTAGTTGGCAAAATAGATAATCCTACCAACTTTATGCAGTTTAAATGTACATCATAGACATTTGAAACAATCTTTTAAGCGTTTTATCAGAAAACATTAAATTAGACCAATTAAATCAGAAGAGGAACTTTTTACAGAAAAAAAAAAACAATGATTTATCTACAATGGTTATAATTCCATTTCGTTACAGTTTGAAAACATTTTAAAAAAATAAATTTGGTGGCTTAAAAAAGTGCAAATCTGGTACAATATGAAAATCGTTAATCCAGAAAATGCATTAAGAATTGTAATGCTTGCCAAATTCCTGATAGTTATAAATGATATCCAGCCAAACGAACGGATACTCGCATGCCACCTCGTTTATTCCCCAAATGTGAACACTGTTGATCTTCCTGGGATATTTTGAGGATTTTATGACGTAAACGATGATAACAGCTTCACTTAGTCTATCTCCATCATAAATATTCATTGGTATATTTATAAATGGAACATACTGTCGTTTAATGGCTAAGAGCAATAAGACACCCATT